GATAGCAGAGATATCTAACCAGACGGTTAACATGCATCTTATGAGTGATGTATAATAGGGCTTCCTAAACATACAAGACTAAGAGGGCAGAAAATAGATTAGAGTTATGTGATGTTACAAGTGTGGTCTGTCACTGCAGGTAATAAACCTGTATTTTGCTTGGACATTTTGTGTTAACATTTCACCTTCGACTGCTCTCTCTCTCTCCCTCTCTTTCGAGACGAAGAATTGTGGAATCCTGTAGTGTGGTGGTTAAAGAGCACTCGCCTTGCGAGCGAATGGACCCAGCTTCAAGTCTGGGTGGGACAGGGCGAAACCTTAGGCAAGTTTCCTTACTCCACACACCTGTTTACCTCGCAGTAAGTAGGAACCTGCTTGTTAAGTCGATTGGTGGATCGCTTTTCTGGGGATAACAATTCCTTCAAAATAAATAATAATGTGGTCACTCAATCCACGGCTGTTTGTGGGACATTGATGTGCTCAATTGACTGCCTTGTTTCTTCAATAAAATATAGTCACTACATTTTACAGTACATTCTGTGAAGCGCTTTGAGATGTCTAGAAGACGTGATAAGGCACTATATCAAATGCGAGGATTACTCGTTATTTTTGTTTTTGAGATAAAATGTATCAATCGGTGCACTTGAGTCATTTTTTCATGTCAGCTGCAAGTGTTTTACTGTGAGATTAGAGATTTATTTAATGTGAGAACATTAGTGACCTGCAACTTGCAGGGCCTGTGGCTCCTGACATGAGCTGATATTGTAATGAGTACCAGGAAAGGCTTTCGACAGGAGGATGCCAATTGAAACATAAAAAAACTTTGCATTTGATATAGCACCTTGAAAAGGAAAGATTTTCAGGGCTATGGGGTAAGAGCGCGGGAGTGGGACTAGTTGGCAGCTCTTTCAAAGAGCGTGCAGACACGATGAGCCGAATGGCCTCCTTCTGTGCTGTGATAAGATATCTCAAAGTGCTTCACAGGATATACTGTGAAGTGTAGTGACATATGTATTTTGTGGGCGAAACCCATAAGAGTAGGCTACATGCTTGTGTGTGGTTAGATTTCCATTGGAGTCGATGTACAGTATTGATATTCACTTCTCCAAATATCTATTAAAACACTTTTTCCACTGATGACTTCTTAGCAAGAGTCGAGGCAAAAAGCTGTCGGCAGTGCTCAACCCAATACGTACAAAAACTCCTTTGGTGATGGATGTTATGGGGCAAAAAACAATTTGGTCTAACAAAGAGAATCAGGCAAATCATACCAAACCTATAGCCTGGCAGCTACTGTGTCATTTGTCCAATTTCCTCACAGCTCGAGTGAATGAACGTTCAAACTGACACAAATCCAGTCTCACACCAAAATCCTTTCAAAAGGAGATGATGGTAAGAGCAAAGTTACAGAAAAAGCATTGCCTTGTTAATCAATGCAGGACAGAGTCAGTTATAAAAGCACAACTACTTTTGGGTTTGGATTAGTTTTCATTAGTATCATCCCATAGTTATTAAAGTCACGTCAAAGAGTGTGAGATATTAATAACAGCAATAAATAACCTGAAGTTCACTATAAAACTACATTTTGCTTTGTTTCAGAGACTTTTAGAGTTTTTGACCTGGGAGTTTCAGTTCAAATCACATCATTATTTCAATAATTTACAGGGATAACATTTATGCCAACAACCCAAGTGGATTTTATTGACAATCACATTGTTGGGTCAAAAGTATTTATCACAGAAATATTCCTTTGTTAAAGCTGGCTTCACGTCAGTGCGAGGTTAGCAATTACCCGCTTGGGAACCAATATCTTCGAGGTTTGGAATTGAATACTTGCACTGCAAACAAAACATTTTAATGATACACACAGGACATGGCTGTTTACAGATGAATGTTTATTCCAATTGACCACTCTGGTAAGATACTGATTAAACACCACAGCAGACAGGAGGAGAGGTGATGTGTACTCATTGGCTCGGAATACTGTGTGAAATATAATAACTAAAGACTCTATCCTGGTCTTAAAAACACCTGAGGTAAGAGAATCTCGTGAAATCATTTTATTGAGTAAAATGCCTTCTTCAGGCTCTCTTCCCCACTCTTTGGGACTCCGTCCCCTTCGCCTTGCTCCCTCCCAATCACAGCAATAAATAACCTGAAGTTCACTATAAAACTATTCCATCACCCTCCTCCACCCAACCCTCCCTCCTGATGCTAACCTCCCAGCTCAGGTCCAAATCACTGACTGTCCAGCACCTCGGGATGTTCTCCCAACGTGAAAGGCACTATATAAATGTAATTTATTATTGTTGTTGGGTAAAAATTTAATCTACCGTCCTGCACTGTGCCAATTTTTGACTTTTTAAAGTAACTTAAAAAGTAAGGAGTTGAACAGCCAAAAACCAGAGGTAAAGGTGATGTCATTGAACTCCATTTCCTTGCTACAAACTGGGTCCTGGTGAGAGCTCTGGAGCTTCAAATAACAATAATCCCTGCATTTGATATAGCGCCTTACCACGTCGTTGAGACATTTCAAAGCGCTTCACAGAATATACTGCAAAGTGTAGTAACTGTGTATTTTGTGGGCAAAACATGGCAGCCAACTGCACGCAGCAGTGTCCCACAAACAGCCGTGGATTGAGTGACCACATTTTTTTTGAGCAGTCAGAGATTAACATGATTTCCTGGACAATTGAGACAACATTCCAGAGCCTGGGAACTGAGATCCACAACAACAACAACAACAACGGCAGAACAGAGTGCGTTACTCAAGCTTGTCTGATGCTATAAGGTGGAGAACTTTGGAACCGTCTGACCAACTTACTGTGTATCATCGGATGGGCAACTCCCGAAATAGTTAGCGATTCAAATTACATACATCTGACCGTTAAGCTCCACCAGGTTTTCGAACATCCTCACATTGAAAAGCTTTCAAAACTCACAAGACCTCACTGATGCTGAGCGATCTGAAGCTATCTCAGGACACCTTGCTTTCTGCTTGTGGGAGCTGTAGGTTCAAAGGGAATTTAACCTCCACCCTTGTCCAGAACAAGAGGAAATTCCAGACTGAGAGATCAAAGGACTTTCTCTTTTTGGACAGGAGGAGGGGTGGGGAGAGGGGAAGGGGAGAGTTTCAGAAGGAAGTAGAAATGGCAAACTTATTCCACGAAGGGAAAGTCCAAGATTTGAAGGGTCTTTAATAGATCGAAGTTGATCCCATCCTGAAATAAAACAAGATGCTTTGATACATCTCAACAATGTTTCTCTCCAGCGCTGGTCAGATAAGGATCTGTCCATAAATACAGCGTCGTTCAGAGTGTTTCAAGTTGATCCCGAGGCCCGGCTGCCCAGCTGGGGAAGAAGCTTCTCCGCTGTCGGTCTCAGGGACAACCTGTGAGTTCAACCCTACTGGCCAATTGTCCTGGTCAGAAAGCTCCATCACACCTAGGGAGCAAGGTACTGTAATGTGGAATGACTTGTGCATTTTGTGGGTGAAACCCAGCAGCCAATTGCACTGAGTGTCCCCACAAACAGTCGTGAATTGAGTGACCAATTTTATTATATTTTTTGGGGGGAGATTATTACCCCCAGAAAGCGATCTGCTAATTGACTTAACAACCGGGTTCCTACTTACTGCTAAGTAAACAGAGCTGTGTGTGTGGAGCAAGGAAACATGCCTAAGGTTTCGCACCGCCTGGGAATCGAACCCGGGTCCTCTCGCTTGCGAGGCAAGTGCTCTAACCACTACACTTCGGGGCTCCGCGAAAGGAAACCAAAAAAAAATACAACATTTGTTTTCGAAAGCCACCAAACCTGTGTTATGTTGGTATACATCATACATTTATTAGTGAACAACCCTCTGAAATCAGCCACAACAATAAAAAAATGATTGCACTACCTGGTAAAGCAATAACTAGCAACTTTCATAAAAAAAGTACAAATCTGTTAAAAATTTCGTCTCTGAAACAATTTGGTTTACAGATGTATAATACATTATAACTAGTTATGTTAAATGCTACAACATTATGATTCGAATGGGATGAAAAAACACCAAAAAAAAATGTTTTTTTTAGCATCAGAACCATTTCCTATATATATATTAGCAAATTTCAAATACATACATGGCAAAATGAGGTAACTGTAACTGTGCAAGTACCAAAAACCAAGATTCTTCCTAACACAGAACACAGGGAGGCCTGACCAACGAGACTGTGGACAGAATCCACTGCCTTTCAGGTCAGGACTAAGTAAAACAGTAAACAATCCACTATTTCCCACCACATTAAATCATTGGTAAACAATTGGTGGCATCTACAGAGCAATTAACAACCACAAAAATTTTTCCTAAATAATTTAGCTGCTTGGAATAATTTTCGCACCACAAACAAAAGAAAAGGCTGTGTGAGCGTAGGTATGTGTGCAGTATAGTGCATGGCAGTAATAGCTGAGCACAGATTCCCCACTCCCACCCCCCCCACCCCCAACCCCCAGCCCCCAGGGATAGAGCTCGTCAAAGTCAGGCCACACCACACACCGGCTGGACATGCATGCATATGTGCACATTAAATATTTTTTTCCCTCCTCTAAAGTCTTTCGCTCGAAAAAAAAACAATACACCGCTCGCTCGCTCAATCTCTCGCTCGCTCAATCTCTCGCTCGCTCACTCTCACTCGCTCGCTCAATCCCTCGCTTGCTCACTCAACACACGGATTGTTTTTCTCTTCTACTTCTTCTTCATGCAAACGATACAGGAAATATTTCAGAAGTGGTTAGGTTTGGTTAAGGACAGCGCATGCGTGTGCACACGCATGAGGGAGGGGGGGGGGGGGGGGGAAGAGGTGGGGCAGGACCAGTGTATGGTACAAATACAAGAGAACATGGATAAGTACATTCAGACATCACGTGGATAACTTACAAACGGACGCCCGCGCACATACACACACACGCATGCACACACGCGCGCACATACACACACACACACACGCATGCACACACGCGCGCACATACACACGCACATACACACGCACGTGCGTGCGGGAAAAAAAATTCCCAGGCATCCCACTTCGCCCCATCAGTACAGTACACTGTTGGAGGGTTTTACTGGGTGTACAATCACCCCCATTGTCTTCCTTCCGTCTACTGTCTTCTGCTCGAAGGGGGGAGGGGGGGATGCGGGGGAGAGGGGGGAACGTGACAAAATCATACCAATTCCCTACCCCTCCCCTCCTCTTGACTATTGTGTCAATACTTGGAATGATCAAACTATAAAATGTTAATACACATCAAAGTACACGCAGGTTAAAATCTTTGGAGCTCGGAACACAATGTTAGGACAACACATCTCCAGACACGCGCGTTGTTTGTCTAAGCGAAGATACTGGTGATCGCTGATGTCGTCAAAAATCGCACGGTGCAAACAGAGGTAACAGGACTCCGCGTAAGATCCTAGATTGCTGCTGTTATAGGGGAAGGCTTAAGGTAACACGGGTGAGCGGGTGGGGGCAAGAATGCACTCTTCCCCTCTCCTCCCCCCCCCCACCACACGTCACCTCGGTAACGTCTCCGACAATTGTGCTGCTGAAATGGCTTTTTCTTTTTACTCTAAATCTCGGTGGACTTCTGAAGCGTCAGCTCGACAGATTGGACAAGTACGATTGGTCTGGAACGAGGAGAGAGAGAGAGAGAGAGAAGACAGAATTAGTCAACATCACAGACAAGTCACGGGCCATCGCAAACAACTCCATCACTGCTCAACAACAACAATAATAAATTACATTTACACAGCGCCTTGCACGTCAGGAGGACGTCCCAAAGGGCAGGACAGTCAGGGATCCCCACCTGAGCTGGGGGTTGGGATCAGGATGGTTGGAGACCAAAAGCGCGGTCAAAGAGGAGGGTCTCGAAGGAGGCAAGCGTGAGGAGGAGGGACTGTGGGATGCAGCTCCAGAGGTGTGGGGGCAGAGAGGCTGAAGGCCCGCCCGCCAATGGTGGGGCGGGCAATGGCGGGGGACGTGAAGCAGGCCGGAGCTCGCTAAGCGGAGGGAGCAGACAGGTTGGTAGGGGTTCAGGAGGTTGCAGAGATAGGGAGGAGCAAGGACGTGGAGGGCTTTGAAGGTGATGACCAGGATCTTGGAACTGTCACAATCGGTGTACATCAGTGAGGGAGTCACACCAGAGAGACACACTTCTCCCCCCGGGCCTCCCCCCCACCCCACCCCACCCCCGTGGCCATTTGCTACGTATTGTATCAGAATCCTAATCGCTCGCCCCTCGCAACTCTTTTTGTTTGTGACAAAGAACAAAAATGAGACCAACGAATGGTTATACTGATACGATTATACTGATACATTAGGCCTTTCACACGGGGAGGATGTCTCAATGCCGGACAACAGGTAGGAGCGGGGGGGGAGGGGGGTGGGGAACCCATTAAATACAGTCTTAAGATTTACGCAAAGTGCGTGTTTCTTACCTTCAGCCATTTGTCAACACATTTCGTGTGGAACTCGTGGTTGCAGGGTAAGACTCTAAGTAGCTGCCTGGACTCAAAATCACTAAAGCATACGACGCACCTGTAGAGCGGAGACAACAGATTACATTCTGCACACTTCTCGGGGCGCAGAGGAAAGGAACTTGTTAATAACAGTCCTTCGGTTCACCATCCACACGGGGGCGTATACAGCACCACACACCACACACACACACACCCCTCACGTTGATACTCATACAAAAAAAGATTTAAAATGCAAAACTACATTTACACGGCGCCTTTCGCATCAAGAGGATGTCCCGAGGGGCTGGACAGTCAGGGATTTGGACCCGAGCAAGCGGGTGAGGGGGCGGGTGGGTGGTTGGGATCAGGGAGGGTACTAATCCATACATTTAATACAGCGCCTTATCGTGTGTCTTCTCAAAGCGAATTGAACCGTATATTTTGTGGGCGAAACCGAATTAAAACTGACCCGCGATTGCTATGCAACTCAAGCGAAATATTTTCCCGGCTGTCCTGAGTGTTGCTTTAAGGGGATGGACCGGGGCCGGAGGGGATCAGACAGGCCGACCGATGGCTTTGTAATGCTGGTCACAGTCACACGGTCGCTCCAAACGTTTCTCACCGCGTCGGCCAAACTCCAGTGCACCTCCCGGGGGAGGGGGGGGAGGAGCGGGGGGTGTCCTTCGGATGAGACGTTAGTAATAGTCCTTGAATTTGATTTAGCGCCTCATCGCATTATCGCGACGTCTCAAAGCGCTACACAGGATAAACTGTAAAGTGGAGTGACCGTGTGTCTTGTGGGTGAAATCTACAGTTAGCTTTCACATTCCGAGGGTGGGAGTGGGTGGTGGGGGGGGGGAGGGAGAGAGAGAGAGAGAGAGAGAGGGTGAAACTGAGTAACCACACAAGAAGAATGAGCCTCACAAAGTTTGTTCTGACTGGTGATTTTCAGGGTTGAACCTGTAGGACGGAAGCTGCTCTATATCTGCTTTGGTGAGCCCTCGTGGCTTCGCCTCGCCCAGTCGCTCGGCCAGGTTTAGCAGCGCCTGCGGGACAGACCGGAGAGACAAGCGGTTAGCGACGTCCCGCTAAGCTCGGGCAACTAATCCATCGCCTTGGCCCCAAACTACTGCCACGATTTGCCTGTCTCCTCGCTCAGCTGAAACGCTCGAGCCCCGTTTTGGCACAGGCTCGGCCGCTGAAGCCTCGGGATGGCTTTCCCGGTGGTCGGGGTGCCCCTCGCGCGCGAAACGCCGCCAGCGTGACTATGACCCGGAAGGCGGCCGCTTCTGTTTCTCATTCAAAAAGCGCTCGGTTTTAGCGGGAGTTTAGAGACGGATAAACCACCGGGTCCCCAGTGGGAGGAGCTCGGCAGCACGGCTTGGGCCCCGGGACCCAGAGCGAGAGAGGGAGGGAGGGTGGGAGGGAGAGAGAGATGCACCTCGTAGTTTTCCACCTCCACATCCTCGACCTCCAGCTCCACACTAATGGCTGGTCCCACCGCAGGAGGCACTGGAAGCATCGATCTGTGACATGGAAACAAGGGGCATATTTACTCTCTCTGCGCGCACATGCGTGTGCGAGCACAAACCACAGCGGTGAATAAGGACGTGCACACACACACACACACACACACACACATCCCTGCCTACAGGTTCCTCCCACGCCGTCCCCCCCCATCATCTCCCCGAATATCCCGGCTCGAAGACTCACCAACAACAACAACAAATTGCATTTACTCAGCGCCTTTGAGGTCGGGAGGACGTCCCAAGGTCCTGGACAGTGAAGGGTTTGCACCCGAGCTGGGTGGGGGCTGGGATCACAGAGAGAGGTACAAACAACAACAACAACAACTTGGATTGTGTAGTGCCTTTCCAGTCGGAAGGACATCCCAAACCCCTCATTGTTCGATGAACGCAAACAAAACTCGCTGCTGTTCACTCATTTACCCACCATTGATGGCCGGGCCTTCAGTCTCTCTGCCCCCACCCACCCCCCCCCACCACCTCCCGGTCTCGTACCAAGCTTTCCCCCCGCTGATCTCCAGCGACCATTTTATATTGCACCCCCCCCACCTGCCCCCACACCAGCACCCACACCACCTGCCCCCCCTGGGACAGTTCGTGCCCCTCCAACCCCCGCACCCACGCCTGGTAAGTCGGACACGGTGAAGCCGAGAGTCTTGACTGGGGGTGGGGGGGGAAAGTGGGGGGTGACGGGGTTCAGTCCGTGTTCCACGGGCAATCGGAAATAGCAGTCCACAGCAACAGGCTGGTGCCAAGCTGGTGACTGGCAAAGCGACTTGAGCTGCTGCCACGCACACCAGGCTGCCAGCTCCTCACCATCACCCGGGCAGTGCTGTCCGTTGCCAGGTGAGCGCAAGAAGCGGCTGGTTAAAGGCAGCGTCGAGCTCAGCAAAGCAAGGGGAGAGTCTCAGTGGGCCGGGGGAGGATTGTGGGGAGGCAAGAGATGTCACTGCTTCAAGGGTCCCTTTTGAGTCCCAGCTTACGACATCGCTGCCGTGCGTTTTGTCCTGAGCGTCCGACCGACCGACCGACGGGCGGAGGTGAGGGTATTCCCAGGGCTTCTCAGCATTCCAGAAGCTTCCGAGCCCCGCTGTCTGCGCACAGTGCGGATGACGGAGTGTGGGGTGGGGGGGAGAAAAGAGAGAGAGAGAGCTGAACTTGTGAACTCTTGCTTTTATCGCTCGCTTCCAGCAGACAAGACGGCTTGTCAAATGTTATGTGTTGAGTTGTCTCTCGGGAGCAATTGTGGCTGAATTATTAATGCAGCACGAGCCAGGCTGAGCGGAGCGTACACACGCTTCCCTCTCTCTCTCTTGCAGGTCCAGTTTGGGGTGTAATGGGTTTTGGTGGGGAAGGGGCGGGCGTGTTTCCTTGGAGCCAGGGGCATTAATCGAATTCGCGCTCCCTCTCTCTCTCTCGCCCACAGCCCCTGCAGAGGATAGAGAACGAGGTGGAGATGCGAGGGGACCAGCACGGTGTGGGGGGGTTTACGTACCCCCCCTCACACCACCCCCCCACCATGCCCCCTGCCGTCCCACTCCAGTACCTCTCCCACGACCCCCTCCACCAGGAACTGCCCTTCGGAGTGGTGAGAAACACAGCGACTGTGGTGGGGGGGATGGGAGGGAAGTGTGTTTGTGTTTTGGGGGGAGGGGTCATGTGTGTGTTGGGTGGGGGGGGTTGTGTGTGTGTGTGTGTATGAGGGGTGCTGTGTGTGTGAGGGGTGCGCTGTGTGAGGGGGTGGTGTGTGTGTGAGGTGGGGGCTGTGTGTGTGTACGGCAGGAGGTGGGGGGGCTGTGGGAGGGGGAGTGTAATGGGGATGTGTTGGGGTGGTGGGCGGTGTTGGGGTGGGGAGTGTTTGCTGGGGGGAGTAAGGGCAGTGTAACGGGGATGTGGTCTTGCCCCTGACAGCCATACCCACATGTGATGCCGCGGAGAATGGCCGGCCAGCGCTATCGCCTGCAGCAGCCTCTGCCCCCACCTCCGCCGTATTACCCCAGCTTCCTGCCATATTTCCTGTAAGTCTGGTGGCTCCGCGCTCAGGGAGGGGGGAGGGATTTATTTCCCGCGTGGCGGTGCCGAGGTGGTGGAGAGGGGGAACCTGCCGTGAATGCGTAACGAACATTTGTCGAATAACGACAACAAAATACTTGTAAGCGCTTTCAATCGGAGGACGTCAAGGCGGGACAGTCGGACCGACCGAGTGGGGTGGGATCAGGAGGGCGGGAGGGTAGGGGTAGAGGGCCTGAAGGCACGGTCAAAGGAGGGTCTTGAGTTGTGCTTTGAAAGAGGAAAGGGATGGAGCAAGAGGATAGTGGGATGGAGTTCCAGAGA